TTTCCATACAAAGCATTTTTTTGGTCTAGATGGCTTCTTTTTTGCTGATACTAAACTTTTTTTCTCAATATTAATATCATTCATAATCAATGAATGATTAAAAAATTTACTATTATCAGATTTGAATTTTTCACTTAATTCAGGATTTGGTGTATTAAGAATATATTCTTCATCTTCAGAATCCTGAGAATCAATAGTTTCATTCAAAATTTCTAATAGTTGATATTTTTCTGCTTCTAAAGCTTCAATCTTTCTTCATTTAGCACATGTAGTTGTAGCCATATTGCTAAGAAGAATGTTTCATTTGATTAGAATAAGATCTACTATTTTTATCTATTTTTATTTATTTTGTGTAATCGATTTTTGCTGATTAATCAGATTAAATAAAAATCGATTTAAAATCATTACAATTAAACGAATTTAACTGAGTTTGAAAATTTTAATCGATTTTAGTTTCGATTTTCGATATTGGTGATTTTCGCAGTTTCGATTCCGATTCCTATATAATAATATAAATCAAATATTTTATTTTAGTTAAAGGATTTTTAGAATTAAATCAGTTTAAATTAATAGTTTAAGCTAATAATTTAATTAATTTACTAATTAATTTTAAATTGTTTAATTAGAATTTTGATTAATATTTTAATATATAAAATGTTAAATTAAAAAGATTATTTAAATGATAAATAATAATTTAGAAATTAACCAATTTAATATAAAAAAATATGTATAATTATAATACAAATTTTTCTATATTTTTTGAATTATTGTAAGTTATAGCTTATAATAAAATAAGTTTTAATAATACAATTACTAATGATATTTTTGATAGTATTGATTAATACATTATAAATATTTTAATAATAAACTACAAATCTAATAGAAGACCAATTTATAATTATCAAAATTAAAGTAATTTTTATTAGAATAAAGATTTTTAAAAATGTCAAATATATGTAAAATATATAATAAGATTATCATATAAAATAGATTCAGTATATTCTTTTAAGAAGACTTTTTGCATAAGTATCTAAATATTGCTAAATTTGTATAGAAAGATTATTTCAGTATAGGATTATTCTTTCTAAGTTTTATCAGAATCAAATAATTTATAATTTTATTTTATATTTATATTAAATTAGTAATTTAAAATAATCTAAAAATTAAACTTGATTAAATTTATTTGTCTAAATTTTATCAGAAAAATTTTAAATATAAACCTTTATAAAATTTACACTAAAAAGTGTAAATATTATAAAGTTTTACATTAAAATATTGTAAAGATTTATAAACTGTAGTATTACAAAGGTTTATATTTAAATATAGTTTTGTATAATATTCATAGTTTAAATTATAAAGGATTGTATAAGATTGCGAAGAATTATAAAGGCTATATAAATCTTACAAGAGTTTATACTTAAAAAATTTTCATTATATTAATTTAAATTTGTTAAAACAATTAAAGAGAGAGAGAGAGAGAGAAAGAGAAAAAAAAAATTTTAATTTTTATTAAGATTTTTATTTTATTTTTATAAATTTTTTTTTTTGAATTTCATAGATTTTTAATAAATTTTTAATATAAATTTATTAAATTATACTTTTACTAAAGATTGAACTTATCTAATAATTATATTTATTTATAATATAAATATTTATTTATTATTTAAAATAAAAAAAATGAATAATAAATTTATTAGATTTATAGATTACTTAATTAGCAAAAATTATAATAATAATTTTTATTATTTATTCTAATAATTAATATTATTAATTAAAATTTTTAGATATTATTTTATTTAATAAAAAAAAAAATATTTATCTAAGTTTTTAATAAATAATATTTTCTTAATAATATTTTATTAATCAATAATAAATAAAATAGAATAAAATAATTTTTTTAACTATTTTAAAATTTTAAACTATAATATTTTTATAATTATTATATTATTTTTTTTCCTAATATTTATGAAATTATTAAACTTATATTAAATAATATAATAATAATAAGACTTATCTTATAGAAATCTTTATTAATTATATATATTATTTCATATTATCAAATCTAAATTTAACAGTTAGATGTAAAGTTAATAATAATATTATTAATAAAAATAATGATAAAAATTAAATATAATTAATATCATTATTAGAATTTTAAAAATACATAATCTTTTTTTTTTATTTTAGTTTAAAAAAAATTTTTTTTGTTATTATATTCTTAGTTTTATAATTTTTATAATTAAATATATCATTATATTATATATTAATAGGTCCTTTAAAAAGAAAATAATTCTTAATATTAAATTTAATTATTAAATTTAATTATAATATTAATCTTAAAATATTTTCAAATTTTAAAATAAAATTATATATTAATATTAATAATATAATTATAATATTATAAGAACTTTTTTAAATATCTTTTATTTATTTAAATTGATTTAAATTAAAATTTTATTATTTAAAGTTATAAAATTTGAATAAAATATAAATCTTATATTAAATTTAGTAAAAATATTTATTAGTAAATTATTAGATCTTAAACTTTTAAAAGTTTTTTTTTATAATATAAACTAAATTATTTATATTTTTATAAAAATTTATTATAATTGAAAAAAAATTGTTTATTATTATTTATTTGGCAATCTTAGATATATAATTTATTATTCTTAATAGTAAAAATAAAATTATATTAATTATATTAAATAAGTTAAAATTATAAAATTGAAAAATATTACATTTAATTTTTAAATTAAACGTGATTTTTTATAAAAACTATTTTTTATAATATCATATTTATTAATTATTATAATATAATAACATGATTATTTATACTAACTTTTTACATAAATATAAACATAATATTAATTTAAGTTAATTTTTTTTTCAAAATTAAATTATTGCTTCAAATTTCTTTTAAAAAATTCTTTATATTATATATATAAAAAAATCATATAGTAATTTTATAATCCGATAAAATTTTTTAATAAAAATGCTAGTAGGTGGATACGGATATAACCGGTTAAGATCTTTACGTAACCAGTTAATATAGAACAATCATAATTTATTTTGTATTAAAGAATAGAACTTTATTTGTACATATTTGTGTTCTCATGACTATTTGGATATTACATAAAGAAACATACATGAAAAGATCTCTCGAGTTAAGAAAATTATTAAACCTTAAATGTACTGATGAACCCGCCTTCATCATACACGGTGAAGGCAGATCTACAAGAATAGTAGTGTTGAAGAGAAAATTTGAAGTTAAAATCTTATCAAAACTCAACTCATATAGTACCTTAAATGATGGGAATTTTTATAGAATTACAATTTTCTAGACCAAATATTGTTCGTTCCTTAGAACGTGAAATGGGAGATATCTTTTCCTTTCTGTTAGAAATGTATAAATATATTTCAAAAATACTTCGTCCAACTTGTATTACTAATGGAAAAAATTTTGGGAGATACACAAACTCATTAAAATAAATAGATTTAAAGATTATGCAATAAGCATATGAACATATGATTCCTCCAGATGTGTTGGGGGAAAAAAAAAGAGAAAAAAAAGCTTATAAGGGAGTGGTGTTTCTTATGACAAAAACAAATATATTTGTCTCAATTATATTTTATGAAGAAAAATATTTCCTCACCCTTTTCTGTTAAAGAAAAAATATATATATTAAAAATAATATTATTAATGCATCGTTTAAAGTCCTCCAATAGTGTCATTTATTCACCTGATTCGTATCATTATGCAATTATCACACGAAATTCTATAGTAGGAAATGCACCTACTCAACGATTGCCCCTTCCTGTGAAGGGAGGGGATATTCCGTCATTTCCAACGTGGAGGGCGAGATGTGAGGAATCCCCTATTTAACTTGCCGTTTAGGAAACTCCTGTAATACAGAAAGGCTGTCAGGTACTTGGATTTTTATTTATATAAACAATTTCAAATGAAAGACTTGACCAAACGTTTATTCGCTTTATAATTTTATAGATTATAGATATTGATACAATTTCCTCTTCATCATTGTATTGTTATTAATTATACATTAAATAAATGAATAAAAAAATTTTTTGTTTTTTAACCACGCGACTATTCTTGTGTAACATTCACTGTTTTTTATATTCTAAAAAAATGTGTTCTTTCATATTCCCACCTATTATTAAATGGAAAGTCAATAATGACTTGCTTTACAGCTATACTTCCCTTTGAGAATTATATTTGCCAATAATTTGCTCTGCCCACAATTCCAATTTGATTAAACAAATTTTATTAACATTCATGGATGCCTCATTAGAACGTACTCAAACTCATTTCTAGTTCTCATACTATGGAATCGACAGGAGGAATACCAAATTAATTGCATTAACTTTATTCGAGGACTCTGTTCAACACCGGATTTCGATGTTGAAGTTGATTGTTGAAATGTATTTCAGAATCACGTTATTCTGAACCTTTGAAAAGTCGGGGGAGAAAAATCAGTATTTGATGAATCTTGATTGTGTCAAGTAAGTATGATACTCATCCTTATGGAATTTATATTACAGAAAAACATAATGACTTAGTCGTTATCTGTTGACCCATTCCACACTCTGTATCTGCACTTAATTTTAACAAACAGCTCACGCTATTTTAATTATGTATTAATTCCAGGTAGCAGATAATTTTTTTTCTTGAATGAATGGAGCTACTAACAAATATTGGGAAGAAAAGTTCTTCAATCTCCATATTGGAACTGGCAGACTTTTTATATTTGTCATTATGAACCAGAATTACTTTAGGAGTTCGTAGAATCATTATAGGTACCAAATGCATGTATTATCATATTTGGCACATTTCAACTGGTTGCACGTTCTTATATTCATGATCGAGCTGCTCTCGATTAATGTAGCTTGCATAATGTTCTAAACTGGCCCCTGACTGGTAGGTCATATACGGTTAATGATTGTTTGCGCTAATTTTCTGCAAGTATTAACAGGATTGAATTTGTTGCAGCCTTTCCATTGGATGGTGTGATTTGAGACTGTCTACATGCTTCGTCTTTGCCCTCGAATCGTTTAGGTACCTTCTGGAAACATTTGATGATTGTACCTATTTTGGCAACATCGCAAATGATCCTTTAGGTACCCGATTCATTTGCAGGGAATGCCTTTCGACAGTAATTATTCTTTGCTGCTTCAGTAACTTACAAAGCTGCTCTAGAAGGAGTTTTCAAATGGTTGAATGTGGATTTTTTTTTTCCTTTAATGCTGCCTGGTGAGGATCGTATAAAAAAAAAAATTTCAAAAGCATTTTTGCACCGAAATTTGTAAAAGCTTTTTCCACCTCAAGATGCTTGGGATATGAAAAATGTGCATACATACACTATCATGGTATTGGAATCTTCTGGTGTGTAGAAATTTTCATATTTAGAATTTACAAAGTTCCAGAGCTGGTATACATTTTTCTGTAGAAGCGTGGAATTTTTTCGTGTAAAAAAAATTTCACATGCTGGAGAAATCTATTCCGATCTTTTCAACCTGCCTCGGTTCGGAATCATCATCGGAATCCTATATGATGGTGGAAGGAGGGTGTCTCTCTCTCAAAGAACGTAAATCTCGACATCGACAATATCATTTAGAAGATTAACAAGCACTTTTCTATTGAATCAAGAAGAATATAACGTACAACAATCATGCGAACAAAAAGACGAAGTTCTCCTCCTCTCTGATTTCGATTATTTGAAGATGACTTATTTGTACTGACGGTATGTAGTGATTGTGATTTTAAAGGTTTGGCTTGATATAAAGGGACGCTTAAAATTTCAGAATTGAAGGAAATTATGACAGAGATATTGCCAGATTGTTTACTTTGAAATACGATCGAGATGGATTCAACTAGGAAAGTTTTGTAGTCGAATTGCCTGTCGAACAAGCAACTCTGTTGAGTATTCCAATAAATTTCTCTTCCAGGTTAGTTCCTTTCCGCCATCCAATACTCATTGCTATGAAAGTTGTATATTTCTCACTGCTTACATTCATATAAACCGCGACTGCGCAAATTTCTACTTTTCAAGACTCAACTTCACCAAGAAAGAGTATTTTCTTGAACTGAAAAATTTATAATTGAGTAGAAAATTTTAGTTAGTTAAATAAGGAAATACATTTCCATTTGTAATTTTAATTTCTATTCATCTTCTATGTACTTTTTTAACTCAACTTAGTAGAACAAATTCTTTCCAGTATAAAGTAAACAAGCTGGCCTTTACAAAATTTAAAAGTAACTTTCCCAAAATCGAATATTTTATAATTGATTTCAACCCTAGTAGATCTTTTTTCTATAGTAAAAAAATTTTCAACAAAATGTAAATTAATTTGGTATTTTAAAAAATTTTTTAAAATGAAATATATTAAACAATATAAAAAATAAGTCTTAAAAATTAAATTTATAACATATAAAATACCTATTTATTATATTATTATTAGAATTTATGTTTATTAAATTAAACAATTATGTTAATAAAATAATAAATATTAGAAAATTTTAAAAAAACGCGCATATAATATATGATTGAATAAGTTTTAATATATATAAAATTTATATAAAAGTTCAAAATTTTACAATTTTTAAATAAAAACTTAAAATACTGAATTAATTATTCAAAAATATTTAAAGAAATTGCAATGTAAAAAAATATATATTTATAATTAAAAAACTTAATAAAAATAAATAATTATTTTTTGTAATAAACAAAACAATTAAAGTTTAATACTTTAAAAAATATTAAATTATATTAAAAATGAAACTTATCATATTAACTAATTAATAATACTATTTAAATACCAAAACTTAGTTATATTAATGTTTAAAAAAACAATAATCTACATTAAATTTAAATCCAAAATTTTTAAATATAAAATAATAATTAGGTTTAACAAATTATATTATATTATATTTAGTAGTAATTTATAAAAAAAAAAAATATGAAAATATTATTAATAATAATTAACAAAAAAATTTATATATAAATTATATAAAATTAAAATTCAATAAAAAAAAATAATAATTTTTTTAGATTATAATATATTATAATGATAGAAATATTATTTAAATAAAAAATTTAATATTATACATGTTTTTAAAATACAATAATTATTTAATTATTTAATGATTAATTAGTTTATTAATAATAATTTAATAGAAATAAATATATAAATATTTATATATATAAATTATAAAATATATATATATATAATAAATAAATAATTTATTAAGAAAAAATTAGTTATATTTTATAATATAATATAACTAGAAAACAGAAAACCATTATTAAAAATGAAATACAAGTGTAACTAAAAAGACCAATCACATATCAACTCAAATTTTAAGTAGACAGATAATGGAACATCAATTATTAAAATGTCTATACATATATGGGAGCTTTGCAATAGAAAGGGAGGAAATTCTAAAAAAATTAAAATTTTATTTTCTAAGCTAATTATGATTTTTTTTGTAAAATAAGTCCAGATTTAACATTAATCAAAAAAAAATTTTTTTAGAGTTTCCTTCCTTTCTATTGCAAAGCTCCTATATAGTCCTTCACTTTATTCTAAACTAATTAAAAATTTTATTTTATAAATTTATTCTATGAATTTATAATTTTATATAATATAATTAAAATAAAAAAATATATTTTTTAAGATTAATTTCAAAAATATAATAATAAAAATAAGAAAATAATTTTTAAATTAATATTAAATTTAATTAAACATTTATATTTGACATAAAATAAATTCATAAAATTTAATATTTTTATAGTTTTTTTTTTATTATAAATATTTAAATTTATAAGTAATTATAGAAAATAATATATAAATTATTACTTTTAATCTAAGATAATATTTAGGCTAATTATAAAATTATATAAAATTTATTTATATTTTTTATATTTTTTTATTAATTTTAGAAGTTATATATTTCTTATTTTTATTTTCTAAATTTTATTATTAAACTTAAAGTTTTATTAATTAATTATTTAAAATTATAATTTAAATCTAATTATTTTATATAATAATAATTATTGTTATTTATACTAGACACAATAATCTAAATTTAGCTAAAAATCAAATAATCAAATTATAACTAAATTGAGTTAATTAAGTTGAATTGTATTTTAATTAATTTAAAATTAAGCCTAAAATCAATCCTAATTTAGCTACATTTCAGTTAAGTATTAGCTTAAGCAATTGTTTAACAAAGTTATTACTAATAATTATAAATTTATTATTTATTTAAAATTATTAATTTTATAAAAATTTGTTAAATCCTTTTAAAAAGATCTTATTTTACTTAAAAAAAGATAAATCTATAAATAAAGAAGATAATAAAATAAAAAAATTTAAAAAAGTACATTTAAAATTATTTTTAATTAACTTAAATTAAAATAAATGTTTTATAAAAAAAATTAAAAAAAATTAAAAATTTTTCTAATAATTATTTTGATTTATTAATCTTAAAACTTATTAAAAATCACTTTTAATGAATTGAATTTAGATATTTTTTTTTTTTAAAAAAAAGAATAAATAAATAATTGATTTTAGTCCTAAAATAAGAATTTTCTAAAAAAAAATAAAAATAAAAAAATAAAGAAAAATAGTAAAATTTTACTTATAAAATTACTTCTAATTTAGTTTATTTTTAAAATAAAAAGTTTTTAAAAATGACAAAAATTTATCTTTAAATTTGATTATTATAATTTTAAAATAAAAATATTTATTTTTTTTTAAAAAAAGAAAAAAGGCAAAGTTTATCATATTTATAGTATAAAAATTTCTAAATACATATCATATGACTAAATATGAACAAAATTTAGGAATGATCAATTTATTCAATTATAAATAGTAACGGAAATGATAGAATACAAATTTTTCATTAAATATTAGACAATAGAAGAATCAATTGTAAATCCAGTATTAAATATAATATAAACAAATAAATTTGCTGATATTATATCACAAAATCTCATTAAATATATAATTTCTCTTAATACATATGCATTTTTAGGCTCAATCCTAGGAAAATGAATTTAGAGATATTTAATTATATATATATATTAATTTTAAATATTTATATATTATAAATTTATAAATTTTTACTAAAAATAGATAAATTATATATAAAAAGTAAATGTGCATAATATATAGATGCTTTACAGTAAAAAGATATAAAAATAAAAATTTTATTTTATTTAACATTAAATTAAAAAAATATTTTTTTTTAGAGCTTTGTATATGATTATGACTTTTTTATTTTAATTTATTTTAATAATAAATTTATTTATTTATATTCATAATATTTAATTTAAATATTTATATTAACTTATCTTATTGTTATATACTGATAACTAAAAAATAATATTTAAAATAATTGATATAAGTAATTTTATAAAATACAGCTTAATATAAAATAATATATAAATAGAATTAAAATTTTACTTTTATTTTCTTATTAAATAAATATTACAAAATATATACTTAATATTATAAATTTAATTTAATATTTTATTTATAAATTTTTATATATATTTAAAAATTTGAATTATATTATATTTTTATAAGTAAATTTTATATATATTATATATATATAACCTAAATTAAGTTAAAAAATATATAATTAGCTAATAATCTAATATTTTTTTTTTTAAAAAAAAAACATAAATTAATACTTCAAATAAATTTTTTTTAAAAATTTTTAAATCTAAAACGAGATTTAATTTTATTAAATTTAAAAGATTTATTAGTAATTTAAATAAAATTATGTATTATAAATAAATAGATTAATTAAAATATAGATACTTTGCAATAAAAAATTATAAATCTTAAAAAAATTAAATTCTACTTTATAAAATAAATATATTTTTTTTAGTAAAATAAGTTGAAATTTAATAATTTTTTACTGTAAAGCTTTTATATATTAAATGTCAAACTTTTTTAAAAATATATTTTAAAATTTAGTTTTAATATTAATAATTTATATACAGTATAAATAATATGAAATAGAAAGAATTTTAATAATAATTAATAATATTTATTAAAATTATTTTGTATTTTTTTTTAAAATCAATTTTGAATTTGAATTTTATAAGTTTTATTATATAACTTGATTTTTTTAAAAATTAGTTTAATCAAGTTTTAAGTATCATTATTAATAATATTCAAGTATTAATTAATTATTTAAATTTTTAACTTTTAATTAATATAATATATTAATACTATTTAATTTAATATTAATATTATTTTATAAGAGATAATAAATATATAAACTAGCTATTATATTAATTAAAATTTAATAATAAATAATGAATTTATCATAAATTTATAGTAAATTTAATATTAAATAATTTTTTTTTATAAAAATCAATTTTGATTAATCATAAATTTTACTAACTTAGTAATGATATAATTATCCTATCTAATAAATTGCTGTGATCTACTTTTATTACAACACAAATTTATTCGATCGATCTTATTGACAGTCGTATTGTGTCGATTTTTTTTTTATAGAAACAAAACCACAATAATAAAACTTGATTTAAAGCATTTTTTGTTTAAAATTCTCTTATCAATACCAATCTTTCAAAAAATTGCGCTGTGATTGACTAAAGTTTTTTTTGAAATTTTTTTTTGAATTTAAAACGTCGGTCACATTTTACTTTTAGGATCAACCATCCTTTATCTTCCTTATCAAAATGTTCAAAAAATTAAAAAAATTCATAAAGGTGATTTTTAACGAATACTTTTATAAAATCTCATTATAAAACCTTTTCAGAGAATTGGTGAAACTTAAATAGCTGCAAGCTATATTAAATTGGTTATATGTCCGACGTACCTTTTATTAAGAAAATATGTTATTGTGTCCACATATGGAAATTTGATTGTTTCTTGATTGTCTCCTTTTGGCTTGAACTAGAATAAGTTGACACGCCTTATGTATTTCGAGCAGTTAATAGAAAAATACAAAGGTCGTTTACAATATAAATAAGTTCAAGGATTGTGCTTTTTGAAATTTCCTCTCTCCCTTTCTTCAACTTTAAAGAAATAATTTTTTCATTGAAAAAATTCTTATATATAAGAAAAAAAACGTCATATTATTATAATTCATCTAATATATCATCATACTTATTTTAATCTTATTTTCCTTTACACATAATATACAAATTAATCACATTGAAATGATACAAATTACATTTATATTTAAGTATGTATAAATATACATTTTCTCTTTTCTTGGGAAGATATCATAGAACATTGACACAATTGTCATTCATATTTAAATATAGATATAGATTTTCTCTTTTATTGAGAGGATTGTTTTTTCGCCAACTTGAAAGAGCAAATGTTAATGTATTGATTTCGGACATATGGTTCATGGTAGAGGCTCATAAACGCTTCATGAACCGTCTGAATATCCGACCATTTAAGGGCCGCTTGGATTGTCGGCGGGCCTAATAATTTTAACATTTAGCAAAAATAATTTTAAAATTATAATCCCCTTATAGGAAGGGGGTAAATGACGTCGACTGGCGCCGTTTTGCATTATTGCAAAGAATCAAGTACGTTCTTTGGTGGAGTTCTTTGGTCAAATGTGATGGTGATACGAGATCGTTAATTTACATTATCTCCTATTTTTAGTTGATGGAACGAAATGTTTGCGTCAATAAAAGACCATGCTTGCGATGGACAAAATTAAAAGAATTTCATATTAGTTAAACATATGTATAGTTATATATTTAACAAAGAACGTCTTTATTCATGCTGTAAATTAAGAAAAAGTCTTGAAATGAAGTAATATTTTTCATATTAGCTTAAGCATATGTATAGTTATATATTTAACAAAGAAAAAATAATAAAATAGTCAAATTAAACATGAATTTAGTTTTTTTGAACGATGATTCCATTGTGACCACACAAATAACTTCGTTTTAAAAGCTTGGCGCAATAAGTAAGTCGCATTTCCAAAATTTTTGTAACATCTTTTGCTGTCCTCTTTAATCATATAGAAAACTAAAAATTTTATCTTATCAGTTTTTAAAATATAATGAAAGAGTCGGACTTTTTGTCAAAAATGTTAAGGTTGTTTTTAATTTTAATTTCTACTTACATCAATAGAATAGTAAAGCCGGGATATCAAGTTTTTTACCAGAGAAATCCAACTTATTTTTTCTTTTGCACGGTCCGAAATCACTTAACATACTTAACATCGAGATATATTCACATAACTTAGAGAGCAAAAATAAATTGATTATGCTTTGGAGCTCCGAAATGAACGAATTTTTTATTAAAAATTCAACTTACCTTCTTAATATCGAAATCCATGTCTTTAGGATGGATCTCTGTAAGGAACAAGGATAAGTCCATGTTAAAATTGTTTGATCCCGCTTTTTTTATTTAATAAAATGAACGTGAATTAGGACATATTGAAAAGTTCTAATCTTCTTAAGTTAGCATCATCTTCTATAAATCACAGTGAATGGCAAATTATTAGATCATTTTATTTTTTTTTTACACGACCTTGCTTGGTCATTTTGACTTGAAATTTATAATAAAAATGAAGTAATTTGAGGTCATTCTAAGGTCATTCCAAGGTCATTTGCCAACACTGACTGATAAATCATAGATATCCTCGTGAGATCTTGACGTTCCTTATTCAAGAACAAATTTGGATTTATCACCTTGAGAAATTTCGGATCAATAGGATTTTTCAGCCAACTTATTATGAGAGTAATTACTATGTTATTTGCGGCGAGAATGATAGCAGAAAAACAACGAGTTAAGAGAAGAACGATTTGGAATGGAATTTACCAAAGGTAAACGTTACGAAGGAAATCAATAAATCCATTCAAAAGTTAACTGAATGAATCGAGTTTCAAATAAATTGGAGATTCCAGGTGGAAAGTCAACTGGAATATTTACAGTATAATAGTTCTAATTTTTAGAGGTAGGAATAATTGTTAAGAAAAATCTAAAGTGTATATATATCATAAGAACGTCTTTTATAGAAATAGTAATTTAAAATATAAAAAAAAAATAACAATTTTTTTTTATTTTTAAATAAAAAAATAAATGGTACAATCAATATATATTAATCATATAATATTTTATTTTTATTATTTATTTTTTAATTAAAAAACAGATAAAAATTAAAAAATATATTTTTATTATTATTTTAAATAAATTATAAATATATATTATTATAAATAAAGAAGATATGCTTAATAATCATTAAAAAATATAAAAATTATAATATAAATTAAAATTATTAAAATTCATAATAATAATATTGAATAATATAGAAGGTTTGCTAAAAAAAAAAAAAAAAATGAAACACTGAGGATTTTTTAATTTTTATTGATTTATAATCCAATATTATCAAAAATTAAAATGCATTAAAATCAAAATTTTATTAAAAAATTCTTAGAATCAAATGTTTCTAGCAAACCTTTCATATATTAAAATTATTTTAATATTTTTTTTTACATAATAAAATAAGTTTTATATTTACAAATTGATATCAAAAAAAAAATATAATTGGATTATTATTTTTATTTGATTGATTATTAATAATATATATAATAATTATATGTTAAATTTTATAAATATAAACAATTTTGTTATATAATTTAAATAATTGTATCTTACTAATAAAAAATAATATTTGTCATTTCTAAGGGTGCTTGCCTAAACTACTTAAAAATTCTATAATTAGTTTTACCAAAATTTAATAAAAAATTAAAATAATTTTGTCATAGTTTCTCTAATTTTTCTATTTACTATGATAATTCAGCATTTTAGCATTTCATCATAGTTTTAATATAATTAATTATAAGAGTTTAATATAGTTTTAGCAGTTTTAGAAAAAAATTTTTCTAGTTTCTCCAGCAATCTTAATTATTTCAATAAGTACCAAAAATCATTAATGATATTAAATATATAAATTACATTATAATAAATATTAATATTATGAATATTACTAATTTAAAAGTCAAAGTAAGTTTATTAGTATTATTATAATATTAAATTTACAAAAATTTAAGATAGACATACTAAATTATATATACTATTAAAAACTTTTTTGATAAATATAAAAATGATTTGAAAGTTTTTAAGTTAATAAAAATTTTATAAGAATTTTATTATTTTTATATTTTTGTATTATTAATGTATAATTCTTGCAAATTACAAATGTTAGATAAGGTGTTTGAATGTTAATTCTTTTAAATTATACAGTAATTTTTAATGTTTACAAATTTACTTAATAACTAATTTTCAAAGAAATGTATTTATACAAGTATTTTATAAATATTAATTCAAGATTTACCAAGTAATTATATTTCAAAAATTTCAAAATAATAAGTTTATTCATGAGTTAAGAAAATAAAAGATAAAAGAAAATTAAAGAGATAACAAGAAAAGAAAAGAAAATAAAGAAACTGAATTACTAAATCTAAAGTGTAACATGATAAGTTTGTTTGTCTTTTAAAACTACTAAAAACTAACTTGTCAAATCATACCTTTTATATGATCCAAAAGACTACCTATTTATATAAAAATATATTACATAGAAAGATAAAACTGATATATTATATATGTCTAATTTATCTTATATGACAAATATATTTAATATGTTGAATATGTCTAATTTATCAACTATATCTAATATATTAATCATGTCAGATATATCATATATTTTAGAAATGTCAGATATGAAAATATCAGTTATATCAGATTTATCAGATTAGTCGATCATCTATGTATATATATTGTGCAACATTTATCCATTCGCAGTATTATTTTTTTTATTAAACTTATATTTGTTCAAAAAAACCAATTTAAAAATATATTAATATATTTCATTTATTCTTATTTTATTAAATAAATTTTTTAAGATACCAATTTGAATATATGGGTAGTGTGCTATTAAATTGAGATACAGATCATATGATTTACTATATCTTTTACCTCAATTTTAATAGCATACCACCTATATGAAACTTTTGTAATAAAAAGTGAAAACTGTTAAGAAATTTAATAAATGATAACTAGAAAGTTATAACCTTTTTTTTTAATGCTAAGATAAGAGTTCTAATTTTATTTAATATAGTAAATATTTGCTTGATTTTTCACTTTAGTTTTCAATTTTAAGGAAGTTTATTCTAACCTAAGTAAAATTTTTATAGACCACTTTCACTTCTAATCAAAATATAAGATATATTTATTAGAAATAGTAACAGAAGTAGTTATTATTTAGAAAAATGGATTTAGATGATTATTTTGTTAATTTTATTATTGAATTTAATGTAGTATTAAGCATGAAAAAAGTGTCAAAAAGTTAGTTTTTTCAATATTTCAAATTTTTTTGACAATAATGACTATACATGAAGTCAAAATGAAAACCCAAAAGTCGAAATATTTCGACTTTGGAGGTCAAAGTTGAAATAAAAAGTTGAAATGGTTGAAATAACGTTATGTCACATGATTTTTCATATAAAAAAAATTCTAAAAAAACAAAAGATATACGATCTCGATCAATATCGTACTGATTCGTATGAAACAACTACCATTCGATTTCTTGTGATGTGACGGATCTAATGAGCTAACATTTATTGATTTTAGATTAGCCTATTTTGAGATACTCAGAATTAAATTTCGAAATCTGAACCCTTTATTTAAAGTAGAATTTATTGATTTATAATTTTGGCTGATAATACAATTGCAATTATCTCGCAATTAGATGATCCAAAATCAATGAATATTAGCTTATTGGATTCATCAAGTCGTAAGAAATCGAATGGTAGTTATTTTATACAGCTGAAAAATATTAAATCATATAATATATTAATATTATATGATTTAATATTTTTTCAGCTTAGATTAGGTTATGGAGGTAACTTAGGTAATTTTATAATCTGTTGGTAACTTCATAATATAATAGTAACTTCATAGTCTGCCAGTAACTTCATAATACGATGATGATTTCATAATCTAAATTCATAATCTGATAGTAACTTCATAACCTACTATTCATAATCTAATAGTAACCTCATAATCTACTTATAGGTAGCTTCTTTGCATTTATTACATTATTTTAATCATTTCTTGTATAATATGATGGTGATTTACAGTCTAACGGTGGATGGTCTTGCTTTAAATTAATGATAATGTCATAATCTAATTATGACTGCTTTCTTCTTGTTCCTGATTCATTTATATGTTAAATTCTACATTGTTGGTATTAGCTTTCCATTCTTGTTTGAATGCTTGATTCTCTAGTGAGGATGCTGACCCTCTGTATCAGTTTGGTTAGCAGTTCTATGTTGAAAATGTGTGCCTATTTGGTTGCCTTTTAAAATATTGAAATGGTGTAAAAAAAGAGATGATAGGTAGCATGATAAATTTGCGATTAATTTTGTCTGGCTTTATGATATAACTCTGGCTGATCTTTTACGCATATGATTTGAGAATCCAGCTTGACGTCATTATAGTGACTTGGTAGTATTCTGGAACTACTGTGGAGCTGTCATGGAACCATCATGAAACTGTTAAAGAACTGGTAGGAAACTGGTAGAGTACCTAGAAGGTTCTATTAGTTTGCTAGTTTTATGTCAGCTTGGGTGACGAATTATTATATTCAAAGTTCTGGTTGAATTTATATAAGTGCTGGTCAAAATTTGTTAGATCATCATAATTTATTGCAATTTGAGTTTATTAGTAGCTATCAGTTATACCATATATATATCTTACTCATGATTTTAGATCAGTTTAGTTTATATTGCCATTCTCTATTACCACTTACTCGTAACTATTTACAGTTGATATCCATTTGTGAGAATTTTTTACCAAGAGGATTACTACTTAATGCTTGCTTATTATTTTTATCATACCAAGTAAGATAATCTTGATATAAAGTAGCGTAACATATTTGTTTGCAAAGAATGTTGTCAGGCCATAATGAAACATAATCTATTATGAATTGTTTAGCATTAGAATAAAACACTTCGCTAGAGTTTGTTATCTTATTTTGCTTTCCATTCTCCTGACATCTAATTTTATTTTTAAGCCTTGTATTTTCATCTCTAAGCTCATTAACTTGTTCTCATAATGAATCTATTTCTAATTGCATATTTAAAATCTTGCGAGTTAATGTAAACTCAATTTGTAATTCAGTATTTTGCCGTCTCAAAGAATAACATTCAGAATTTATTATTATTATATATACTTTAGAATAATTATTTTTTGCGTATTTTCAATATTAGAGCATTACTAAAGTGAGGTATGATCTTTTTACTATATTGTTAGGAGATATATATGCCAAATTTTTTGCCGTCACCATGAAATTGCGTCCTTATAAAATTAATATCAAATTTTCATGAGGTAATTCATAAGGTTAACCTTGATATTATTTTTGGGCTTCTTAGCTTATTTTATTGAATTTTTTATTATCTATCCTTAAGAATCTTATCAACCCTAAGAAATTTTAAAGTACTAGGAAAAAATCAAAATTTTTCTATGATATACATACCACTTGGATAAATATAGTCATGTATGATATATATAAAAAAAAATAAAAAAGGTAAAGAGTTTGAAATTTCTTAAGGCTCTTAAGGCTCTTAAGGATAAGTAGTAAATTGCCTTCTAAGAGTTCTAAAAATGACAGTTTGCTATATTAACGTATCCTTGTTAAGTTTTTTTGCCATCCCTATAAATTTTTTATGAGGCAAAATTTTTGATAAGTTATTAGGGCCAACTTATAGCATTAGGTATTTTCATTCTATCGAGAGCCTAACTCATTGCCTCTGGTAGTGTTGTCATAGGACGCGAATACGAACATGGACCAGACTGGACCAGACTGTCCAGTTCATATTCGAGATTTTTTTATGTCTGGGACTTTTTGTTCGCATTAATGCTGACCATATCTCTTGTTAATTCTGGCCAAAAGATATTTAATATCGGTTCATATCCTAACTGTCCTGTGGACACAGTTTCAGACATGGACTTTCGGACGTCCTGTGTTCGCCAAAAATCACTGGGACAACATTTGTGTATAACACTGACCTCTGAGGTCTGACAGTTCTGAAACATCTTATCCAACTTTTTCAGTTGATAATCAGGTTCTTCAATTACTTGAAGTTTCTCATATTTAAAGGGTTTTTTGGGATTTTGTCTTATCAGATGAGCAGTAGATTCGATAGGTTTATTCTCAAGATAATATAAGACTGGTTGTGATGGATTTCTTCCAATAACGACTCTTTTAATCTTGAAGACGTACAAGTTCCAATACGGATCAGTTGCTCTATATCTATGATCTTCTTCTAACTCGCCTGCTTTTAACAAATATCTAACCGCTGTGCCTTTTTGTAATTTTATCTCCTCATCTTTTCTGATTGCACGCTTAGGATTTTTAGAAGACTTTGATTCAACTTCTTCCAAAGTCATAGCATGAGCTGGTGACATTCCAATAAGGTAAGTTTTACTGTTATTCAGATAATCAATATACTTCTTAAGGATTCTCTTAAATATCCTTGATCGCTTCCCATCAGTTAATCGTCTCTCTATAGCATATTGGACCTTATATGTTAATATTGCTATTCTTTTCTTAAGTGCTTTAATAAAAGCCAAGCTCTCAAAACTATAAAGGTCAACAACACGTATTGAAACATTATACTGTTGCATTTCTCGTGAAAATGCATCTTGAAACGAAGCATCACCATCATTCATTAATAATTTTGGCTATATAAGAGGTTAGAAGGATCCTCATAGACATCTTTAATCACAATCCAAATTTCTAAGCTATTTCTTAATGTTAGTGAGCGCCTTTCCTTAAAATGTATTGCCACATCGATAACTAGGAGAGTACAAACAAATATCCATTCACCATCTTGATTATAAGTATGAAGCAATATATCGTATTGATGAACTTTATTTGGAATCTTAATCTTTGAAAAACTTGCCTCAGCTTTATAAGGTAATGGCTGTCAATAGATTTGGTAGTTATATTAGTATTTTAACCATTTTGTAATATCTTGTATTCGAAAATAATATCCTTTTCTTGATACGCTTCATGAAATTTTTTCGCATTAGTGTGGAAACTGGGTATATTATAATATAGAAGCCTACAGACAAGAACTATCTCATCATATGGGTCTATTACAATCTGAGGTTAGCTCATTCTTGAGACAAGATTATTACAATAGTACTATAAATTAGAATAAAATACCATATATGATCCAGCATATTCATAGCTTTTAGATACGAACCAGAAGCTTCGTAGTGAACTTCGAGATGAAGTTTTTTTTAATAAGAGTAATGAGAAAAAAATTTGATTTCTGGTAAAAGAGCTTGAACAATGTTATAAAATAATATCCTATTAAGATTCTACAATCCTAACCATGAAGAGGAGTTAGGGAAATTTAAATCAGAAATATCTGATTTGCGAAAATAGCTTATGGTTTTACAACAGGATAAAAAATTCAAAGATGGAGTTGGGTCTATTTAAGATGGCTGAATCATAGAGCTCGAAAATAAGGTTGAGAGTCTTAAAGCAAGGATCCGAATTCTCATAGATAAAAAATCTCAATAAATGCTTTATATATGATAATGGCTAATCTTATCGCAAATATTAATAGAGGATTAGATTGAATTGAAATCACATTAGAGGGGTTGACACACCTATGCAAAATTCTGCCAATATAATGGATGGTATCAGAGGCTCATTAAATACTATTTGGGTTTCTTTACAAAATATCACAGCTGAGCGTGATCAATATCAGAACTTATATGATTCAATTCAGCGAGTAAATAATCTTAGGAATCAGTTTACTGATAGTGGAAATCAGAATTTATGATTACAACATTATTAGATGATTCCTGAGTTCAGGCTGAAAGAACTGTAAGAAAAAGGGATGCAGTTATAAGGGAAAGAGATAATGCTTAAGGAGAGCAGGATCTGGCTATTCTAGTCTATTATAATGAGAGAAAAGAATTCTGTCATTGGCATTTCTCATATTGGAATAAAGATAGGTGTGTTCAAGAATTATTACGAGAAAAATTTGCTAAACAGTTATTGTATCAGCGAAATGTCAACCACCTTCAGCAAAATACCCGACAGTTGCAGACTAATACCCAAAACTAGGTAAATAGAATGTTAGTTATTATATCAAGAAAACAAACCTGCATTAGTGAATTAATACGTGAAAAGTTTGTTTTTCAGCTAGATATTAGGCAAAAAGACCAGAATATTTTAAATTTGCAGGGACAAATTTTGACGCTTCAGAATAACCCATTAGGAAATATGGTAGATGCTAGACGTTTACCAGTATTAACTATGATTGCACCGGTTCTTGCAAAAACTAAGCCTTATATAGGCCAAGAACCTCCTGATAATTATTTAGATAGATTTATTCAATCAATGTCATTTGTACAAGGGTATATAACTGCTCTTGAAAATGCAAATGCTAGAGATTTCGATGATGCTGTCAAATGTGATATTTTTAAAGCTCAGATAGAAGGAAATCATTTACCAGTTCCTGCCTAAGATCCATATAATAGAAATACTCCTATTAATTTTCCAGCTACTTTATGCATTTAGATGAGATCACATTATCAACGAGAAATAGTAGGTAATTGGCAGTCAGCACTTCAAAGATTAATTCAAGAAAAATTTCTACTCACAGACTCACCTGATACTTATGAAAAAAGAATCCGATCTCTATTACTAGATGTAGCAGATAATGATTTACAAACTATAGGATTTCTTAAGAATCACTTATCAGGTGATCTTTAAACATGGATGTGTGCTGTCGCTCCTGGTGGTATTAATGCATTTTTTACAAATCTAAAAGACATGTGGTTATGTGGTTGGATAGAGCTCCTAATGAGTCGAGTTGAGTCGAGTCAAAAAATTTTAAAACTCTAACTCGACTCGACTCGAGTTATACTTAAATTTGACTCGACTCAA